AAAACAGACACATAGATCAATGCAACAGAATAGAGAGCCCAGAAATAAACCCACACACCTATGGTCAATGAATCTACAACAAAGGAGGCAAGAATATACAGTGGAGAAAAGACAGTCTCTTCAATAAGTGGTGCTGGGAAAGCTGGACAGCTACATGTAAAACAGTGAGATTAGAACATTTCCTCACACCATATACAAAAATAAACTCAAAACGGATTAAAGACCTAACTGCAAGACCTGAAACCATAAAACTCCTAGAAGAGAACATAGAACACTCTTTGCCATAAATCATAGCAATATTTTTTGGATCTAACTTCTAAGGAAAAGAAATAAAGGCAAAATAAACAAACAGGACCTAATTAAACTTAAAAAGCTTTTGCACAGCAAAGGAAACCACCAACAAAACAAAAAGCAACCTGCAGAATGAGAGAAAATATTTGCACATGATATGACCAACAAGGGTTTAATATCCAAAATATATAAACAGCTCATAAAACTCAATGTCAAAAAAACAAACAACCTGATTTAAGAATGGGCAAAAGAAGGGAATAGACATTTTTCCAAAGAAAACATACAGATAGCCAACAGGCACGTGAAAAGATGCTCCAAATTTCTAATTATTAGAAAACCACAATGAGGTATCACGTCATACCTGTCAGAATGGCTATCATCAAAAGGCAACAAGGGCTTCCCTGGTGGCGCAGTGGTTGAGAGTTCGCCTGCCGATGCAGGGGACACGGGTTCGTGCCCCGGTGTGGGAAGATCCCACATGCCGCAGAGCGGCTGGGCCCATGAGCCATGGCCGCTGAGCCTGCGTGTCCGGAGCCTGTGCTCCGCAACGGAGGAGGCCACAACAGTGAGAGGCCTGCGTACCGCAAGAAAGAAAAAAAAAAGGCAACAAATAACAAAGGCTGGTGAGGATGCGGATAGAAGGGAACCCTTGTACACTGTTGGTGGAAATGTAAATTGGTGTAGTCACTATGGAAAATAGCATGAAGGTTCCTCAGAAAACTAAAACTAGAGCTACCATATGATCCAGCAATCCCACTGCTGGGCAAATATCAGGAAAAAATGAAAACTCTAATTCGAAAAGACACATACACCCCAATGTTCATAGCAGCAGTATTTAAAATAGCCAAGACATGGAAGCAACCTAAGTGTCCATCAACAGAGGAATGGATAAAGAAGATGTGGTACATATATACAATGGAATATTACTCAGCCACAAAAATGAATGAAATTCTACCATTTGCAGTAATGTGGATGGCTCTTATGCTTAGTGAAATAAGTAAGTCAGACAGAGAAAGACAAATACTGTATGATATCATTTGTATGTGGAATCTAAAAAATAAAACAAATAAATGTATTATAGCAAAACGGAAGCAGACTCATAGATACAGAGAACAAACTAGTGTTTACCAGTGGGGAGAGGGAAAGCGGGAGGGGCAAGATAAGGTAGGGGATTAAGAGGTACAAACTACTATGTATAAAATAGATAAGCAACAAGGATATATTGTACAGCACAGGGAATTATAGCCATTACTTTGGAATAACTTTTTTTTTTTTGGCCATGCTACGCAGATTGCAGGATCTCAGTTCCCCAACCGGGGACTGAACCCGGGCCCCGGCAGTGAGAGCACTGAATCCTAACCACTGGGCTGCCAGGGAATTCCCTGTAATAACTTTTAATGGAGTATAATCTGTAAAAATACTGAATCACTATGCTATACACCTGAAACTAATATAATATTGTAAACCAACTATACTGCAAAAAATAATTGGCCAGTGAAGTTCTTCACGTTAACAGGATAAAGGGAAAACAAATCACATGATCATAAAATGTTTCAATAAATTCAATACCCTTTCATGATTTTTAAAAATAACATTTGGCAAAGTAGGAATATCAGAGAATGTCCTTAATCTAATGAATGGTGTCTACAAAAGTCGAAGCACTGGAAGCTTTCCATGTGAGACTGGGAATAAGGCAAGGACACCTGTAATTAATACCACTATTCAAAGATGCCCTGGCCTTCCTAGCCCAAGCACTGACATAAGAAAAAGAAAATGAAAGATATGTTATAACAGAAAACACAAAGTTATTAGTATTTGCATGTGATATGTTTGTATACAAAGAAAATGCAAATAAATATATAGTTTAGAAAAGGTAGATACAAAATCAAAATATAAAGCTAATTTATTTGCATGCAACAGCAAAGAAATTATTTAAAGTAAAATACCATTCGCAATCACGTAAAAATAACAAATGCATGGGAATACATTAATGAGATGTGCAAGACTTCACTAAAAACCATATAAATCACAGACAGAAATAAAATAAGAAGGGGAATTCCCTGGTGGTTCAGTGGTTAGGACTCTGCGCTTTCACTCCTAGTTGAGAGTATGGCATTGGGGGAGGGGGAATTGGATGAAGGTCTGAAGGTGGTCAAAAAGTACAAACCTCCAGTTCTAAGAAAAATAAGTACTAGGGATGGAATGCAGGACAAGATAAATATAAATAACAGTGCTGTGTGTCATACATGAAAGCTGTTAACAAGAGTAACTCCTGGGCTTCCCTGGTGGCGCAGCGGTTGAGAGGCCACCTGCCGATGCAGGGGACGCGGGTTCGTGCCCCGGTCCGGGAAGATCCCATGTGCCGCGGAGCGGCTGGGCCCGTGAGCCACAAGTACTGAGCCTGCACGTCCGGAGCCTGTGCTCCGCAACGGGAGAGGCCACAACAGTGAGGGGCCCGCGTACCACAGAAAGAGTAACTCCTAAGAGTTCTCATCAGAAGGAAATTTTTTTTCTATTTGTTTAATGTTGCATCTACATGAGATGGTAGATGCTCACAAAACACTGTGGTCATCATTTCATGACGTATGTAAGTCAGATCATTCTGTATTCCTTAAACTCATACAGTGCTGTACATCAATTACAGCTCAATAAAACCGGAAGAAAAATAAAAGAAGGATAAGGGATGTAGGCATGATAGATCCCAGTGGGCCTTGCACGCTATGCTAAGAAATTTAGATTTTATCCCAAGTGCAAAGAGAAGTCGTTAGATTGTTTTTCGTTTTTTTTTTTTTTGCGGTACACAGGCCTCTCACCGTTGTGGCCTCTCCCGTTGCGGAGCACAGGCTCCGGACACGCAGGCTCAGCGGCCATGGCCCACGGGCCCAGCCACTCCGCGGCACGCGGGATCCTCCCGGACCGGGGCACGAACCCGTGTCCCCTGCATCGGCAGGCGGACTCTCAACCACTGCGCCACCAGGGAAGCCCTAGATTGGTTTTTAGCAAGGAACTGACTATCTGATTTACATTTTTTAAGATACCACTTGACTGCGTGTGGAAAACAGATTAGAGGCAGGCAAGAATGGTGGTGGTGTGATCTCAGGATAACGAGTTGTATTACAGTAAATATATTCAGATTTCATTTATGCTTTAAAAAGAAGAGATAGTATGTATTTCTGTATTGTTTAATCGTTTCCAGAAATTCTTCCTGTTCGACACTGTTTGGGCAGAACCAACAAGGTGGCTGAATCCCAAAATCGTCATGAAATCAAGAAATTAAACCATGACGACTTGGAGAGCGAGCAGCTGAATGCAACAGAATGTGTCGCACTCGGAAAAAAGTGACGACTGACAACACGACCCCCAGCTTGTGTCATTTCACTGAGACTCATCACCTGAATAAGAGGTGAGATCCATCAACGAACTGGGTGACCACGACACCAGCTTGTGTCTCTCTGACAAGCACACCTTGGAACACGGTGACGAGCCAGCCTCGGCGGGTGACTTCCCTGGTCGCCCAGGCGGGGCATGAATGTCGTGGTTACCTTTACCTTTTCTATAAGTTGTACCAAAACACCCACTTAAGTTCTTTCATTTCTACTATTCCTTCCAATAAAATAATTTAGTAGCCCCTCCCCCCCCAAAAAAGAGAGTGGCAGTGGTGCAGGCTGGGGCAGGGGCCCGATGGGAGACAGCAGAGCTGAGATGCAGACTCCCCGCCACGGGCACTTCACCGATGGCAGAGGGGGGCTGGAGGGCCTCGGGGACAATCACGGCTGCCAGGTCACTGGAGCCCCACGAGGATGATAGCGAACCTGACCCCACTCTGCCGCCACGTACAGACATCGGTTCCTGGGGGAGCTCCATGTGGAGGGCACAGCAGTCCATGGGACACGTCCCCTCTGCCTTACCAGAGCCATTTGGCTTCCATCCAGCACTGTTGTTTTGGTCTTTGTTTCATGGTCAAAACCTCCATTTCAATGAGTTTTAGCCTTTGTTTACCTTCGTGTGAAAGAATCCAACGTTTGGATGGAGATAGAGAAGAGGAGAGGGGAGAGAGGGAGAGAGAGGGAGAGAGAGGGAGGGAGAGAGAGAGAGTGCGCGTGCAAGGCAACCCTGTGAGAAGCAACAGAGTTCCAGAAAAAGGCCAAACAGGGACCAAGCTGATAGGGCTAGGTTAGCATTACCTTGATGGTGATAGCTTGGCAAAAGGCCACATCACTTCAGCCAGGTAGAATTTGGAAAGAACATGTCAGGTGGGATGATGGATGAGGCTGATTGGATTGTTGAAACATAGAGACAAGAGGTATGGCCTCCCACCTCAGTGCTCAGTCTGCATGTGAAAGGAAACGGATGGAACTGGGCCCAGCTTTGGCAAAAGACACCGCCTTCTGTACCAAGTGGGTCCCGGAGTGGCTCCACACAAACGCCAGGAGCGTGGTCCCGTGTGGGCAAGGGCGTGACTAGGGGGCCAGGGATCTGACTTCTTTCAGCGCCTACAGGGACCCGCGCATACCTCTCCCGGTGGGGCGGGTGGGGAGCCTGGGAGTGAGGGCTGCTGCTCGGGCTGTGCGCTTCCACCCAGAGCCTGACCCTGCCGGGACGCTGGACTGGCCTGAGCAAAGGACGCTGGACAACGTCCTCATGTGGACACAAGGAGGAAAGAGAAGCCAGGCTTCTCTCGGTACCGAAGCTTAGCATCTGACACTTACCTTTCCAGGTTCTCATGTTATCTAAACCAGAGAGAGAGATTCTTCTCGGTACCACAGTGCCTTCCGGCTTCTTGATGCTACTGGGCCCACCGCACAGGAGCTGCTCCTCATGGCGCCGTTCAGAGAGATGGCTTGGCTTGGGGGGGCGGGGAGGTGGCGTGTTGGACATAACATCTAGTTCTTTTACCCCGTAGGGCAAGGAAGCTTGGTTTTGATCTACCTGGACGGTGGAGTTTAAGGAAGTTTCCAGCACCGGTAAAGAAAAGTGGTCCCTGGACGGGCCATTGACATGTCTCGTGCAGATCAGGGCAGCCGGGGGCCTCGTGGAAGGGGCCTCTTGAGAACTGTTCCCAGGGCGTGAGGGGCAGGCCAGGTTCCCGGAGGGCAGTGGCTGCGGGCCGTCCACAAAAACGTCGTCGAAGGACCCCTGTTCCAGTGAGCGCTCCGAGTTTGACCAGCTGTCACATCTGGTGGGGAGACTGATGGAAGAAAAGCACATACATTTGACTGAGAGGCAGCGAGTCCCCGGCAGCGGTAGTTGATACTGCTACACCCTCGGCACCCACCCACCCATGCCTCTAATGTCGCCTCTACCACACTCAGTGACACCAACCCCTTGATGCAGGGGAAAAAAATGGCTCGTTGATTTTTTTCATCCTCTAAGTGTAAGGTACGTATGAAAATGCAAGGTTGGAAAGGAAAGCCACAGCGCTGAAATGCATGAGTCATTCTGCTTGGTGTGCCACAAGCTTCGGCCTCGGTGGTGGTTGATAGGGATCTGTCCCTGCCCTGACGGCAGCAGGAAGAGAGGGGAGTGCACATACACCCACTAGAAGATGCTACAGCTAAACGGCTGGAGGCGTACCTGGCATGGTGCAGTCTTCCCGTCTCGCAGTTGGATAGAATCAGATAATCAGGAAGGAAGAGAAACTCTGACTCACTTCCGGTTTCCTCAGTGGCTACAGTACTAGTGCTTGGGTCATCTCTTGGCAGGGAGCTGACAGCAGGGGCGGTGCAAAGGGAGCTGGCGGCAGAGGGCTGCACGCAGGAAGGCGCGTGAGAGCCACTCTCCACACAATCTGCAGGAGAAATCATTTCCCAGCTGAATGTTTAAGAATGGCTAGAACACAGTTTCTCAAATGGCATCTAAGAGGCCAAAGAGAAGATGCAAATCACAGCTGGTGTTTGTACTGATGGAGACCGTTTCCCCAAGCTATAAACAATGTCTGGGGAAGAAGGCCAATGTTCCAAGAGTGAAGTGCTGAATCAATTAAGAGCAAAAAACCCAAGGACTCTTGGCCTAAAAATCTGCAGTTAGATAGTCTTCACACAGCCTCTTCATGGCCCTCGGCCACAGCTCTGCATCACTGTTTATTCACTCAACAAATATACTTACATTTTATATATATATACGCACACATTTATGCATAACAAATATATGTACATAGACTTACATAAGCATTTGGGCACATATGCAGACATGCATATGTAGATATATGTCTATTTATGTCTATATAGATACCTACTCTTCCACCTACTGTGTGCCTGGAACCGTTCTAACTCTGCCCTCACAGCGTTAATGATTGACTGTTAGTGATGTCTAAGAAAAGGAATGAAAGAAATAAAGAGTTGTGATGGCTGGAAAGCCCACATTCATAAACTCCCAATGAAAGGCCTGCTTCTATTTCCCTTTTGAACCAAGTTGGCAGGAATGCAGGATTCCTGAGTCAGAGTCGTCCAGAACTGCCTGGGTTCAAGTCCAGCTCTAGTATATAGCTGTCCTGACCTTGGGCAAGTTACCCGCTTGCTCCAAGCTTCCTTATCTGTAAAGTGCTTAAGTTCATGCTACATATGCCACAGAATCCGTCTGGGGATGAGACGAGCTAATACAGGCTTGGTTCTCAGATGACCAGTTAGCCCCTACATCCTCGTCAAAACTGAGGGGGGCTACAGGGAACAAAAGAGGTCATGGGGGGTTCCGGCTTCCTCCAACTTCAGGCCAGAGCTTTCTGTTTTATGCCTGGTGCCTTACTTGTTTCTGTTCCCCTTAGGATATCGGGACACATGTTATGTATCTATATTTTAGCATAACTCCCAGATGAGGAAACAAACAGAGGAGACACATAACATGACACAAAAATATGTATCTGGTGTGGGCAGAATGTATGGACTGGGGTGAAGAGTGAGCAGCGGCGTGACTGAGTAGCTTCACTTAGTAAGCTTCCCTGGCTCATGAAAAGAAAAGGACTTTGCTGGCAGGAAGCGCACACACCCTCACGTCTGTCTAAAGAGAGATGCAACTCTGACTCTTCGGCGCCACCTAGCGTTAGAATGTGGGTATTTCAGTGGAAGATGATAAGCACCAGTAAGGACGGAAATGCTGAAGCAACTGTAGACCATGGGATTTAGGGGTAAGGTTCTACGGGCTAGACTAAGAGACTAAAAGAAAGCAGACTCGAAGTCTCATAGTTTGAAGATCAGGGCATGGTGCCAGGGCCTCAAGAACAAAATCCATGAAGGAGAGGTCACTGTAAGCCCAAGAGCTTTATACCCAGTACATTATATAGAAAGGGCAGTATGTGTGTGTGTGTGTGTGTGTGCGCGTGTGTGTATAAAAGAGAGAGAGCAAGGGTGAGAGAAAAAGAGCCTCATGGGTCATTTGCTTCCACTGCCCAGAAATGGCTCACAGCAAACTTAGAGCTCATTTCCGTTGCACAGACCTTGAGCCACTTGGAGATAAGAGGAAACGTTACCTGCCCAAGACAAGTAGCTTAGTTCTTTCTACCTTCTAGTACTGAACAACCCGGTAGGCAACAGAAAAGCTGGAGTTCCTAGAATCTTTTAAAGACAGCGATATTTGATATTTCTAGAAAAACCGGCAGCAGCAGCATGGGGAAAATCAGAGCTGTACAGGACGTCCCCACCCACGTTTTGCTTTCACTGCATGCGCTCCCTGTAGCTCACGAGAGCAAAGCCAAGGTGAGGCTTTGAAGCCACCGAAGTGGCCCGTCACGCTCCGGGGGCAGCGCACGTGGCTCGTGGCTCGGCCGCCGGGTCCTTTCCGGAGCTCCTTGGCACAAGCGCAGCGGCCCCCGCCCGCCCTTAGCCTCGGGAGCCCCCTGTCCGCTCTTACCTGCACTGTCATCCAGGTGGCCGAGGTTGCAGACCTGACTGATGCTGTGCACCCACACCTGCATTTCTTCCTCGGTCTTGGCCACCAGATAGAACGTGCGAGATGCAGTCTTGACAATGAACACGAAATGGTTCTGGAATTCCTTACGAACGAAGCCCGGGCCCGCGTGCTTCCAGACGGCGCACTCGCTGAGGTCGATGGTGCGGATGGGCTTGCGGGCGCGCTGGCTTCGGTAGTACTCCAGGACGTCGCGGTCGCCGCTCAGGCGGCCCCGCCGCAGCACGAACCAGCGCCTGCGCCAGGCCTGCGGGGAGGCAAGAGGACACGGCTTCTCAGACTCCGCCGGCCGGACGAGGACACTGCCCACCGTAACAGTGAGGTGCGAGGCCCAGCCGGCGGCGTTGTCTGAAAGGACCCACGCAGCCTCTTCAAGTCGCCTTTCACCAGTGATTTTAGTGATCGGTCATCACTGGGGAGCGTAGTGATGAGACTCACACCCCCAGGTTGATGAGAGCTATGCAGTCATCACAAGTGATGCAGCAAAGGCGTGCAGTGCAAATTTATGTGTGCCCATGCATTTTTTTAAAAAAAACAATAATGCAGAACAAGAAGGAAGCTTTCTTATCACTGTCTACCTCAAGCCAAAAGCCAGTATCATACACTCAAATCAGTGCCGTCTAATGTGGTCATTTGACTTGTAGAGAATTGCTCAACAAGAAAAGAAGAATAGTGTACATTGGAGAGGAAAGAGGGTTACCATTAGCTGAAGTTGATGTGATTGTCTTTCTGTAAAATCCCCAAAATGAAGATTAAAATACAAGTACAATTCTCAGAGAATTAAGTAACGTGCTGGTTCTGTTTCCTATGTGACAGACTGTTTTCTAAGGGCTTTACCACAACCTATTTCATCTCCAAAACTATCCCATGGGACAGGTAGCTATTTTTATGTCCATTTTATGTATGAAAACATTGAGGTTCAGAGAAATTCATGAGCCCAAGGTCACACAGCTAAGAAGCTGTACGAATAGATTTGAACTCAAGTGAGGGTGGAAGGTTCACTAAATATGAAGTTAAAAAAAAGAGAGAGGGGACTGTGGGCAATTCTTTAGAGATGTCTGACTGTAAAGGGGGAGAGCTCTGGGGTCCAGGGATTTTTTTGTAAAGATGGAAGACACTTCTGCATCCACCCCCCTAGGTCAGCCTGTCATGAGGGCTGGGGGCCGGGGCGTGGGGCAGGCACTGTCTGGCCTAAAGGATCCTCTGTTCCCTGCGGAGAAGCACCGTAACAATAGGAGGGAACTGCCTTTAGTGCTACAGGAATATGGGAGAGCCAAACCTTGAGGTCAGATGGTCTGGCAAAGCTTACCATGACCAAAAAAGAAAAGAGAATGATGCTCTGCGTGCCACTGCAGCTTCAGGTGTGCCTGACATGTTTATATGCCCACCAGCTTTCATCCAGAGGCCGGGAGAAAAGGGAAAGGGCACCGTGTGCAGTGTTCTCAGCTCCCTTCCTGCCCAGGGGCTGGGAGATCTGAGGCAGCAGAGCATCTGATGAGGCCATGAAGAGGGAGAGGGGGCTCTCACACCCGACCTGCAATCATGGCTCAGAATTGAAAGCTGCTTTGAGGCCATGGCAAGAGGCAGCATCAGAAGGGTGGCGGTCACCCCACATGGGGTTGGGACAGAGAGGAGGAAACCGTGCCTTCAATGATGGTGTAAAGCTCTAAGGAGAGATCTGGCCACTTGGAAGAGGGACAAAGCAGTGTAATTAAGTCCTTGTTTTTAAGACAAGAGAAATAACAGCATGTTTGTAGGCTCCTGGGAGTGATGGACGAGGGAGAGAAGCATTAATCATTCAGTAAATTCCTGTCACAAAAACATGGTACTGGATGGGGTGGAAGGAGCTCCCGCATCACCGTCAGGATGAGAGAACGCCCTGGGGTTCCCGGGGTACCCCAAACTTTCCAAAGGCCACTTTGGTAGGGAAATGTGAAGAGGAACTTTGTTGTACTTCCCAAAAATGATTCTAAAAGAGGAAGTCAAATTGGATGCTGAAACAAGTTTCAAGTTAACTGCTCTTAGTTTTATAGAAACACATTTCTTATCCTTTAATAACAGTGTTGGTGGGCAGGGGGGGAGGGGTCCACAATGCATCCTGCCAGATGGTGGAGATGGGGAAGGGGGTTAGAACTGGTCCCTGAAAGAGCTCACCATGTAGCTGGGATGCCGAGAGGCGTGGAAATATGAAATGGATAGATTTCAAGCCCGGGTAAGGAGCGCCCTGGTAGGAGAAGAATGACACAGACATTCATTCAGCAATTATCTGTTGGCACCCTAATATGCTAGCCACTGGTCAACAAGCCACGGGCCCTGCCACTCAGTCTCGTGGGCAGCAGGGGAAGTGGGCACATGGATAAACAGACAACTGCAGTCAGCGAGATCAGTGCTACAATAAGGGAGAGCCAAAATGCTACGGGCATACACAAGAGACATCCTCCGGGGCGACGTGGTAGCCGAGCTGACGCTGAAGAAGGGCCAAGGAAGCAGCAGCGCCTAGCACAGCCTGCGTGCGAAACTCGCCAGCACGCCCTCCCGCAGGTTTGGAGGTTCCTTAAAAAACTACAAATAAAATAAAACTACAAATAAATAAATAAATAAAAAACTACAAATAAAAAAACTACCATACGACCCAGCAGTCCCACTACTGGGCATATACCCTGAGAAAACCATAATTCAAAAAGAGTCATGTACCACAATGTTCATTGCAGCTCTATTTACAACAGCCCGGAGATGGAAACAACCTAAGTGCCCATCATCTGATGAATGGATAAAGAAGATGTGGCACATATATAGAATGGAATATTACTCAGCCATAAAAAGAAACGAAATTGAGCTATTTGTAATGAGGTGGATAGACCTAGAGTCTGTCATACAGAGTGAAGTAAGTCAGAAAGAGAGAGACAAATACCATATGCTAACACATATATATGGAATCTAAGAAAAAAAATGTCATGAAGAACCTAGGGGTAAGACAGGAATAAAGACACAGACCTACTAGAGAACGGACTTGAGGATATGGGGAGGGGGAAGGGTAAGCTGTGACAGAGCGAGAGAGTGGCATGGACATATATACACTACCAAACGTAAAATAGATAGCTAGTGGGAAGCAGCCACATAGCACAGGGAGATCAGCTCCGTGCTTTGTGACCGCCTGGAGGGGTGGGATAGGGAGGGTGGGAGGGAGGGAGACGCAAGAGGGAAGAGATATGGGGACATATGTATATGTATAACTGATTCCCTTTGTTATAAAGCAGAAACTAACACACCATTGTAAAGCAATTATACCCCAATAAAGATGTTAAAAAAAAAAGAAAAGAAAAGCAGAAATAACGTGTTCTTGGAGCTCTTTGCTGAGTAGGTGAAACCAGGTTTCTGGGCTTCTGGAAGTGAGAGACATGTGACAAAGACCCTTGAAAGCAAGCGGCCAGCACCGAAGTGAAGCCTTCGTAGTGACACTGCTCCACACGGAAGTTATCAAAGGGACTCAGGAGCCAACCTGAAGGTACTCCCACTGGTCGAAGATGGAACAATTCGAGCTTTAATAAATATAATCATTACGGTGGCTTGAAATCCATCAGATATGTTTCAATCTGGGAGTTCATCATGATATTAAAAGAGAAAAAAGAATTTGTCATCCTCAGAGGCTGTGATGGAACCACTTCATTATCTTTTCATAAAGGTATTCTGCTTAACAAAGGAAAACCAATGATAGAATTAGAATCTCACCATTCTGCTGTCCACAGCGAAATCATAGGTAGAGGTGTTCAGCCTCAACAGTTGCTAACTTATGAAGAGGAACCAGCAGACGTGGAAGTTCCACCCGCAAAGCCAGACAGTGGGAAATTCTGTGATCAAAGGCCCAGGTTCTTCAACAGACAAATGACAAGAAAAAGAAAGGACAGAGGTGATCTATGGAGTAAATGAGTCTTAAAAGATGTATGAGAAATTTTCTGTGGGATTATTTTTTATTGAAGAATAGTCGATTTCCAGGGTTGTGTTAGTTCCAGGTGTACAGCACAGCAATTCAGTTAGACATATATTCTTTCTCAGATTCTTTTCATCATAGGTTATTATGAGATAGATACTGAATATAGTTCCCTGTGCTATACGGTAGGTCCTTGTTGGTTATTTTATATATAATAGTGTGTATCTGCTAATCTCAAACTCCTAATTTATCCCTCCCCCACCCCCTTTGGTAACTATAAGCTTCTCTTCTATGTCTGCGAGTCTGCTTCTGTTTCATAGATTCATTTGTGTCATATTTTAGATTCCACATATAAGTGATATCATACGGTATTTGTCTTTCTCTGTCTGACCGACTTCACCCAGTATGATCATCTCTAGGTCCATCCCTGTTGCTGCAGGGGGCATTATTTCACTCTTTTTTATGGCTGAGTGACATTCCACTGTATTATAGTGACTAGGGGATGCTCTTTTGAGTGATAAAAACATTTAAAAACGCAAAGAAGAGATTTCTCTGGATAGGGCATGTTCATGCTGCATTCACTATGGGCCAGGCACTGAGCACGGCGGGACCCGGGGGCTGCTGGCTCTTCCAACTGGGGAGATGTTCACATTTCACAAGGGCAGGATTGCGGGATTCCACAGCAAAACACTGTCAGTTTGCCCTGGGCAAATCGCTTCTCCCACTGCACACCGATGGGCCCTGAGGGCTCTTCTAGCTCTGACCATAGAAAGATGTTTCCCATCAGCCTTTTCAGGCAGCCCACCAGTATCAACTCCAGCAACAAAACCCTGCAACATCCTGTAACCTTGTGGAAAGGTGTTTGTGCTCATTTCTCAAATATGAAGAAGGTAAAACTGAACTCCCCTAGGAAGGTGTGTTGAGATCCCGGCCCGTTGCTGATTCTATGTTTACAAACGCCTCCTGGCTGGCTTCTTGCAAGGCTGAGGTGGCTGCTGTGCAATGGCGGGCTTCCCATCCAGGGAAGAGGGACTGAGACTTGAATCTGAGTTTCCCTGTTATGGACTGAAGTGTTTCCCCCCCACCCCCAAACTTCCTATGTTGAAGCCCTAACCCTCAATACCTCAGAAGGTAACCTTATTTGGAGACAGGATCTTTACAGAGGTATCAAGTTAAAATAAGGTCACTAGGGTGGGGGCCCTAATGTAATATGACTGGCAGAGTTGCCAAGACAGAGCAGCATTCTGGACGGCTGAGGCAGCTGGAATTTGTAGGGAAAGGCACCAAAGAGGAGGGTGCTGAAAAGAGGGTAAAGAAAGAGCTGCAGAAATCCACCTGGGAATTCCCTCACGGGACGTCGGCTGGATACTAACACCCACATCTGTTGGGTGAAACCCCATGAGGTGAGTCCAGAAACAACGCCTGGACACCCACAGAGTGAATGACTACCGAGCTCACACAGGGCTGGGAGATACTCAGACCAGCTCAAGTGGAGAAACCTGAAACATCCAGTAGAGACTCTAGAAAGGCCACACCTCAGAAGCTTTCAAGTTAGTGAATTACCTGACAAAGACAGCTCAACACTTTTTAAAGGAAGACAATGAAACTCAGACACTCAACAATATAATGTTTATGATGTAGAGCATTTTCCCCAAATTACTAGAAATGCAAAGCACGAAAATGTGGTTCATAATCAGGAGAAAAATCATACAATAGACAGAGACCTAAAAATGACAGAGATGGGCTTCCCTGGTGGCACAGTGGTTGAGAGTCCGGCTGCCGATGCAGGGGACACGGGTTCGTGCCCCGGTCCGGGAAGATCCCACATGCCGCGGAGCGGCTGGGCCCGTGAGCCATGGCCGCTGAGCCTGCGCGTCCGGAGCCTGTGCTCCGCAACGGGAGAGGCCACAACAGTGAGAGGCCCACATACCGCAAAAAAAAAAAAAAAAAATGACAGAGATGATGGAATAAGCACACAGTATTTTTAAAACAGCTCTTATAATGTATGACATTTAAAGGAAAATGTGATAATGAGGACAGAGATAGAAGACATAGACAAGAACAAAATGGAACTTGTGGAGGTAAATGTACAATATCTGAAATGAAAAATTCACTGGATGTGTAGAACAACACCTTAAGCATCAAAGAAGTGCTCAGTGAACCGGAAGTGCATTTTTAGCAGCTCCCTGGGGAGAAATGAACAGACTCCCCAGGGACCTGCTAAAAATGCACATTCCTGGACCTCACGTCCAGAAAGGCTTACTCACCAGGCCTGGCTTTGGGCCCAGGAATGTGCATTTTTAACAAGCATCTCTACAGATTGTGATGCGTAGAAGCAGTGCCCTTTCTAAAGGTACCTAACTGGCCAAGGATGCAAAGGGAGTTCAAGATGGACCATTTCAACACTGAATTCCTATCCTTTTATGGGTTGTGAACCCCTTAGAAAACATGATGAAATTCATGGACCTTCTGTCATCACAAACATGTGTGCAGGGACTTCGCTGGTGGTCCAGTGGTTAAGACTTCGCACTCCCAACGGAGGGGGCCCAGGTTCGATCCCTGGTCAGGGAACTAGATCCCACATGCATGCTGCAACTAAGACCCAGCGCAGCCAAAATAAAATTAATTAATTAAAAAAAAAAAAAAACGTGTGCGCGTGTGTGCGTACACACACACACACACACACACACACACATACACATACACACACTGTTCTGGATGGCTTTCCCTTATTGAACTTCACACACTCTCCCTCAGGGCCTCACCCAGTATCATTTCTCTTAACAACCATCTATTTTCTGATGATTTACAAACTTATGTCTCCAGCCTAGATCTGGCCCAAGGCCCAGCGACTTCAGACCCTAAGGCCCAGCGTGGAGACTATGCTCATACTTGTTGAGTGAACTAATTCCACGTGATTTCACAGTGCCCTGGGCCTACGTTTAAAACACAACTCTTGAGAAATATGACTAGCTTTGTGGGTTCATAACAAACCTCATCACCAGGATTTACTCACCACATATTTACGTGCTAGGAACTGGGGATGTGATGGGGAACCAGACAGACAAGTTCTCGAAGCTGGACATTGGGCAGTCAGGCAAGGCTTGGTCCGAGCCTTTAAACTCCAACACAGTAAATGCTCCGTCCACACATTGAGTACACTGGGGTGTCAGCTACACATTTCTTTTTCTTAATTAATTTATTTTATGTATTTTTGGCTGCGTTGCGTCTTCGTTGCTGCGCACCGGCTTTCTCTAGTTGCGGCGAGCGGGGGCTGCTCTTTGTTGCGGTGCGCAGGCTTCTCAGTGCGGTGGCTTCTCTTGTTGTGGAGCACGGGCTCTAGGCTCGCGGGCTTCAGTAGTTGTGGCACACGGGCTGAGTAGTTGTGGCTCGCGGGCTCTAGAGCGCAGGCTCCGTAGTTGTGGCGCACGGGCTTAGTTGCTCCGTGGCATGTGGGATCTTCCTGGACCAGGGATTGAACCCGTGTCCCCTGCATTGGCAGGCGGATTCTTAACCATTGTGCCACCAGGGAAGCCCTAGCTACACATTTCTAAGATGAGCCTTTGTCAGTTAATAACACAGGCTATTGAGGCTGCAGATTACCATGGACAAAGGTTCAAAGTTTGAGCACTTTATTCCTACACTCAGTTCTATTTGCACAATAAAATAAACCTGGCTGGGTTAAGCAAGTTTCACTTCTTGGGCTCCAGAATTCACTCCAATAAAAGTGAAGTGCCCTGTCTGGATTGTATCCATCGTCGAAAGACACTGAAGTGAACTGAGAAACGTCCTGCAAGTCTCTGAGGCTGGAAAGAGACACCTCTGATTTAAACTGCTCTTCTGGCCAGAGTGATTACTGTCCCTTTGTTTCAGCGGAATTGGCCCCCTGACCCCTCTGCAGTGGTGAAATCCCAAAGCTATGAAATCATTTCCTCCGCATGTGCACAGGACCCATCCGCAAGCTGCCGGCATCGCCCAGCTTTCCAACTCGGGCTGAGGGAACGAAACCTCCATCGAGCTGCACTTGGAACTGTGGGTTTTGATCCTTCAATATTACTGTCATCTGAGCCAGGGCAGTTTTCGACTCAAGCTGCCCAACGAACTGTGCAGGCCTCTTCCCCTTTGGACCTGTGGATGTGCTCCGTGCTGCCCTGGCTTCTGAGCTGTTCTCGCAGGGGTCTTATCTGTCAGGCTGCAGGAGGAACTTTAGAAACCAAGACCTGGCCAGTGAACATCGGCTGGTCTCCAGCTCGCCCTGGGACTCTAGCCTGTGCCCATCTAGCCTGTGTGCTCTGTGAGGGCAGGACTGGGGGGAGGGCTGGCTGGAAAAGCTTAACGGGAGGAATCCTCATGTTGGAACAGATCTGTATATTGACTGCAGCGGTGGCCACACGAATCTACACGTGCAATGAAACTGCACTGAGACACACAGACACACGCACCTACAACAGGCGAAACCTACAGCAGCTCCTGTGTGTTCACAAACTCCTGGGGATCTAGTTAAGCTTCTAAATAAGCTTACAGAAAGATGCTCAATCCAAAAGAACTCAAAGTACAGAAAAGGAAACCTACAGGAAGCGGGGAGCACATCAGAAGTACAAGTAAGATGCGCGATTTCAATCTAAATGCATCAATCATTACATCCAGCGGAAATGGACTCAGTACTCCGGCACAAAGATGTTCATGGAATGGGTCGCATGCGGGGGATGCAGAGATGAGCATTACCAGGCCCCGCTCGCAGGATGCACATGACGGTCTCGAGGGCCATGTGCTATGACAGAATATACCACGGGGACGAATTTGTTGGTGCCGGGAAGGTTAGAGTGACAGAGGATGAAGCTAAAGAGGGGGTGGTGGCCAAATGGTGGAAGACACAGTGGGCCTGAGGGAGGGGAGGGGTCGAAGCTGAATCAGAGGCTGCTTTATGACCGGGCAGGTACTATTATTGTGTCATGTCCCCGAATGGAACAACTTGTATTTATCATCTTGTGAAGTGGTCAAGGCAGCTAATTTTCCAGAAAAAGAAGCTGGTCCTCAGAGAGATGGAGTGTTAG